AGGCCGAGTCCCACGTACAGCAACTAGAAGGATGTGAACCTATGACATACAACTATCTACTGGGGCTTTGGGGGGAAAAAAATGAATAAATAAAAATCTTAAAAAAAAAAAATGAAATAAAGACAGGCTAATAATGAGGTTAGGCTGTAGTGATGTGCTTTTTTAAATTTGAACTATTTATGACATTCTTTTATCAGGAGATGCTTGAATGAACATCCACGATTGTTTAAGACTATGGAAAGTGCAGTTTTAAAATCTATACGTGCAAAATTGTGTTTCTTTCCTTTATCAGTCTTCTCTTTGACATTAACGACCTTCCCCTCTCCACCAACTGACCTTAATTCCTTCTGAAATATTGGTATTATTTGATTTTAGCTGTCGGAGCCACTGCCGTGTATCCTATTGATCTTGTAAAAACTCGAATGCAGAACCAGCGATCAACTGGCTCTTTTGTGGGAGAACTTATGTATAAAAACAGTTTTGACTGTTTTAAGAAAGTGCTACGCTATGAAGGCTTCTTTGGACTGTATAGAGGTTAGTGCCATGTGCTAAATTCATGTAAGGTGAAATAATAGTCAAAGATTTTTCCATATGAGTGCCTGAAATGTATTAGAGAGACTGCGTTAAAATGGAAATACAGCAGATTCTCAATTATCCATGCTAATGGGAGCAGGCTAGAGGCTGCTAGGGCATGGCTAATCAAAACAGCACATAATCTGAAAGCCATTTGTATTGCTTTGTAGTATGTTTTGTTTCTTAAAATTATTTTTATAGATGTATTCAGTGAGTTTTTAAAAGACTCATATTGTTTGTGTTCTTGAAATAACTTCACTCACCAGCTAATAGAGAAAAGCATCCTGGGGACAGGACAGAGCCTCTGTGGGACTGGTTGTCCTTGAATATACCACAAAAAAGTCTGTCAGACAGGTAACGGAGGGTTCAGTGGAGCTCTCCTCTACTGGCTCTTTCTGAGTTCAGGTTGCCCCTTCCTTCCTCTGACTCTGTACCCAGTGGAGCTGATTCACACACCACTCTAGCCAGGTAGTCCTTCTGTATCTTGCTGCTCCTTTAATCATCTAAGATTCGTTAAGCAACAAGAACAGTGGCAAAATGTGTCATCACTAATAGAAAGGATCCCACAGACCCTGCCTGCTTTTTCATTGGTATGGGCCTAAAGAGGTGTGACTTTACTTCTCAACCTCTCTTTTTGCGATTGCCTTCTACAAAGGGAAAAGAAGTAAGTGTGTTTGCATCAGCTAAAATACAGTATCTCAAGGCATTCAAGCTGAGCCACTTTACCATTTGGCAACTGCAAAGCTGGCAGGATCTTCCTTCCCTGCCCCAACTAGTGCTTGCTCTAGAAGAAGAAAACAGTATTTAGTACTCTGCCGAGACAGACCTTGAAACTGGCAGCCATGTCAACCTGTGCCTCTGAGCCTCTTCTGCCATCTGCTGACTCCAGTCTTCACCTGAAGCACTCAGGTTAAAAAAAACAAAGACCCCTCTTGAAATCTCTCACCTTAGAAAGTAGGAGGTTTCAAACTCCAGAGAAGTTCCATTTTGCAGGTTCCATTGTGTGAGTGGATAACCCCCATCAAAGGCCTTTTGATCTTTTGTCTGCCCTCTTTCCCTCACCCCCTGCCTCTTCTTACAATTGGGAAGGTCTTTGACCCCAGGTGATTGATGATGACCCTTACAGGGTCACTGCCTTCCATTTGAAATACTTTTCCCTCCTGGGGACAGCAAACCTCGCAAATGAAATGTCTCCCAAGTAGTACAAGGTTAATGTCACAGTTCCTGCTTTTCAGTGATCCAGGCAAAGGCACCACGTTCCCTGTTCTCGTGGGTTGTTTTCTGTAGGAAGGGCTTTGAGCGGCAAGTTGGACAGACGTCTGAGCCTTGGCGTTGCTTCGCAAACTGCTTTTATAGTCTTCCCTTGGTATTGGATTAAGTATCATGGGTGCCTTTAGAATTGTGAGAAATTTTTTTCTTTTTTTTTTCCTTGTCCTGCTGAATATCTTTAATGTGCTTGTGTTGACCTGGTTTATTTTAATTTTGAGTTCCTTCTCTTTCCTCTTTGACCACACCTGGCAGGTCCTGGTTCTTGGTTGCATCTAGATTTCTGTCCTTCACCTGTCGTTTTGACCCCATGGACAGAACAGCTTACCTCGCATCTGAGTGCTGAAGGCTGTGCTAACATGGGCCATCCCACAGACCTCGTGCTGCTGTAGTTATTGCATCTGCGAGACAGAAAGGGTGGTTTTAGCTCCTCAGGGAAGAGGAGTAAGCCGGCCTATTAGAGAGAAATGAGGGCTCACTTTGAACACCAAAGAGGCAACTCTTCACCCTTTTTCTGGTTTAGAAATAGCCATTTATCTAACCTGTTTTGGGTGCCTGAATCCTAAAGGCTTCTCAGTCAGAGGATAAGTAGAGTGCAAATATAAGATCCTCAATTCTGGGAGTCACCTGTATTCATTTTTCCCTGATTTCTGCTCTTTTCTAGTAGCCAATTTTAAAACAAAAGATTTACTGTAAAACTTTGTTTAGTTCCATTCTGTAATTTGGATCTTGAGAGCAAAGAGATGATTGGCAGTTCAAGTTAAAAAAAAAATGATTTATAATCTTGCTTCGTAGATGACCTTATTTCTATTCTTAATTGGTTGGGGACCAATTCCCTTTAGTGCCTTGCACAAAGTCATTAATTAATGATTGTATGTAACTGCATATTTTTAAATGCTTATCATTGGGCAAGAGAGAGATCAGATGAAAATGGGAAACCATTATTACTAGCAAAAAATTATAATAGAAACAAAAAAGACCTGAAGTATTTCTGAGAATCAGTATTCTAACCTTTCTATACAAAGTCAAGATACATGTGATTCTTTGACTATAAATTTCTCATTAAATGTAATTTTATTGTTTAAAATTTTTATTATTCCAGGAGAAAACTGTTAAATTTCAATTCTGAGAATTTAGAATTGCTGCTGTTAATGCTTCACCTAGCAATATTTGAGAAGATGTCAGAGTACATCTCTAATTTATAAACATGTTTTGAAATATTGAGCATATTTTTTCCTATTATGGAATTTTGCTTAACATGTAATTTCTCTGCATCAAGACATATATAATTGCTAATATTTCCTGAATAGTATAATTTGGAAATGTTGCATAAGTAAGGTCTCTCCCCTATTTTAAAATTATTTTTATGTATATTTTGGAAAAAAGTTGGCAGTTGGCCCTGAAAAAAGTTGCTTACAGCATGTATCCTTATTATAAGGTTAATAAGCATCTCTCTTCTTTTTCTTCTTATGAGGAGAATACAGATCTCTAAAGGAAAGCTGTTTTTGTATTTAGATGTAATTCCTTGTGGAACTACTAGAAGGGAGGTTATTTTTAAAGAACCCTTTCAACACTTCACCACTCTTTCCTTTCTCTGGTACTTGCCAGCATCTGCACACAGTCCTGGAAGTTATCCAGTGGTAATCAGGGAGCACGTTTGAGTCACTGCCCCATAGTCCAGAGGAGACTGATAACATAGCTATGGGATTGTGTTATGGAGGGTCAAGTCCTGTGCCTCTGAGAGCCACGAGTCATTTTAGTATTGTGAATTGGTTAGGTTACTCTCCATGTCTCTGTCTAGCTCTCTGTTTCTTTGTCACTGGGAGTCTCTTATTTTGGGGTAAGTTTTGGTTGTTAGAAAAGATCCCCTGGGCCGGCCCCGTGGGTTAGCGGTTAAGTGTGCGCGCTCCACTGCTGGCGGCCCGAGTTCGGATCCCGAGCGCACACCGACGCACCGCTTCTCTGGCCATGCTGAGGCCGCGTCCCACATACAGCAACTAGAAGGATGTGCAGCTATGACATACAACTATGTACTGGGGCTTTGGGGGGAAAAGAAAATAAAAAAATAACATTATATAAAAAAAAAAGAAAAGATCCCCTTAGAAATCATATGAGACTGACTCTGCAAACCTTCTCAGTAATACAGACTACTTTCTTTACAAGGAAATGATCACTTTTCCTAGGTTTTTCTATCATTTTTGAAAATCAGACCCCCAGGCTAACTCTGTCTATATTAAGGGAAATAACACCGAGATTATCCAGATCTCCCTGAAGTCCCTGTAAAAAATCTTCCTCTGTTTCCTTCCCTGCCTCCAGATTGATGTGATGCACTCAGGTGTTTAAAATCCTTAACGAATTACCTGACAGTTTATTTGGTTTGAATGAACTGTGTGACCAAATGAGTCAGTTATTGGCCTGCTATGGACTTGGCATATTAAAGAGAAACAATTTATTGGTAATCATCCATAATTAAATGCTCCTAATGAAGAACTAATTTCTGCCTTTAAACTTTGCTCCCCTCTCCTCCCTTAGATGCTTCAGGTAATGAGATGAGCATCCTTAGAAATTGGAAAATATTTTGGGGAGGACCTTGGGGAGAAAGATGGATTCGAGAGAAATTAGGATCCATGAGAAATACTTCTTAGAGAAAGGTTTTTGTTGTTTGTTTCTGTTGGTGGGAAAAACCATAAAGAAAATCTGCCAGAAAGAGAAATTAGATCATTTTATGAATTAAACTTAATTTGGAGCAATACTTAATCTTTTAGGATTAACTGACAAAAATTTTTTTTTAATCAGCCCATTGATCCAAGCTTGCAAAGTTTTAAATGTGTCTATTTCAAGTTGTCCGTGTGGTGCAAAAGCAGTTATCTTCCATCCTGGAATGTTCTCAAGGTGACATCTAGAGGATATTGTGGTGATATCTCAGGAAGTTATTGATACGTTTGCATTCTAGAAGGAAATTTTGTCAGACAGCTCGTTTAAGCTAGTCTCTTCCTGTGGTTAATGGTTCTAGAGAAGAGAGGATCCAAGTTATGTAGATCTACAGTGAGATTCTTCTTGTGGCTAAAAATAAATTTAAAAACCCTAGCATCAAAATAAAATGATAGGCATTCCTACAACTCTGTTTTCCATAACTTAAGAACACATGCATCTTGGAACAAAACACAGTGAATTCTCGAACTGTGCTGAGTCATGGGTGTGCATCCTTGTCCACCAAAGCGTTTAATGAGTGCAAAATGGATGGGTGTGAGTCTTATTTTCTTGGCCAATTTCTGCACATTTTAGTTTAGGGTATTAAGCTGTGAAAAGATCAAAAGGCAGATATTTGGTTATAGGAAACCAAATAAAAGTGAACGAAAGACTTGGACAGTTCATGAGTTGGGTGATTGAATCTCCAGAAATCTACAGAGAGTCAACTGTACTGAGCACAGGGCATTAAAATAGGAGACTAAGGTAACACAAACTCAAGCTAAGGGGTGTGGGGTGTTGTCAGAGGCTCGAAGGGGCCAAATGAGAGCAGTGATGAGCTTAGAAAGTTGGGATAGATGACAAAAAGGTGGAACTAGGCATAGCCTGGAGAAGAGAATGAATGAATGATTTCCAGGCCTCAAGAATGATGATTTATAACCAGCTACTTCCATGGCTGAAACTGAAACAAGGGAAATAGATTAAACCTCAGCTGCGAGGAAATAGTT